GTGTTATTAACAATTATTCGTTAATGTACCCGAGAAACTGAATTTATCAATAAGAGAATTTTTTATAGTCTAAAAAAAAGTGAATTCTGAAAATACTTGTGATTATCTGCTGAAATTAGGGAGACTCTAGCAATTTGCAAATACCACATGCTAGCTGCTCGACCAACACATTGTTTAAAAACTCGAACTTCTGTGGCGTGTTTAGTCATGTGGTAAATTATAAGGTCCAACTAAGCAGTCATTTACTATACCGGCTCACACATTTATGGAGAACTGTCGTTGAAATTGTGCTTCCTGACAAATGTGTGAATTTTCATTGGACCAAATGTCAGTGTTGTGGCTGATGAAAATAGCATTGCGAGTGACTCCTGCTTCATCCGTAAACAAAATGCAGTTTAAAAAGTTAGGGCGTTCACGACATTGCTGTAACAACCATTCACAGTAAATTAGACGACGTAGTAAATGAGCGAGCTTCAAAGCTTGCACTTCTTCAACGTGGTGTGGATACAGGCCTTGTTCTTTTAAGGTACGACGTGAAACTTTTTTTCGACGCGTTCCAAAATTTGTTCTTCAGCTTACAGTATTCTTTCGGTTCTATGACTGCCACGATCGTGAGTTTGATTGTTGAAGGTACCTACCATGATCTCAGAGATGTTGTACCAGTGATGTAAAAGTTGCCCCACATGGAATCGAGCGATTTGGAAAGCGAGAAATTCGCGGGCCAACCGGGCGTTTCTATCACTCACACTATCAAGCATTACCATGTCGACACGCTCTGAATTGGAAAAATTCAAGACGTTAACCGATTATACGGTGGCAACCAACTGATACATGACTGTCCCTTATCGTGTTTTGTGTTCTGTGCCATTTATTGTAGTGATTATGGTAGGTCAAGAAACACTACCAGTATAACAATTTATATTTAATTTGAAATAATTTTTTTTTAAACATTGTTACCACTTAAGGGCGTGAAACTTACACAGTGCAATAAATCTTATTGTGAGCTATTCCCTATTTGTTTTTATTGCATACATTTCGAAATCAGAGTGTAGAAGTATGTTATAAACCGTTTTAAAGATTTTAACTTAGATTTACGTAAACTGTTATTTTCTGTTAAGCAACGAACAGAATAATTGACGGTATTTTAGGCAACCGGCGCATGGTAGTTGTACTTTGTCTTGTTAAACGTGACCGTGGAAACTGCACTTTGTAAATTAATTGTTAAAAAAGCAATTTCAAACCGGTATCAGCATTTTTACGTAATTATCAAAGTTTCTCGGTGTCGAAAATATTTTGCTTGACTTTCCATGCCTCCAGCCTGTACAACTGATTTCGTTCTTGCTTTTTCGCAGCTTATTTACCTTCCATGTTCGCTGCTAACGTAATTCGCCAACCACCTTTGGGCATTCCGGCAACGGATTTGTATTTTGATTGTGCGGAAAAGTGTAAGTTAATTTCCGATCGCGAACGATCCCCCGTGTGCCAAAGAGCAATTAGACGCGTCTCTGTAGGGTTGGCTCGTAGGGAAACGACGGTCTTCCGGCGTGTGTGTGCGTGTGTGAGCGCGTCCGTCGTCCGTGCTAGATTTTGCGACGCTTGCAGTGTAGGAAGCGCAAACATAATATAACAATTTGCCGTTGAGTACACACGTAATACCGACCGGCTCAAATAAGAAGCGAGCGACTTTTAGGGCCGGCAATATCCTTCCGCGGGAAGCAATTTGTTTTCATTCCCGGGCGTAGCGCGGCGCAATCAGGCTAGCCAACATCATCTGGCGACCAGCGAACACGTACCGGGGGAATTACAGATAGTGGTAAATGGTTATTGCGGTGGCAGCGCGCCTTTCATATATGTATTGACTTTTGGTATAATGCGCCGGTATATTGGCAGTTTGGAGGTAATGGGGCCGGTGATCAGATCTGAGGCCGCGACGACTTCCATATGCGGCATCTGGAATGCGATAAAAACACACCAACACAACAAATTAACTTCGCTGGCAGTAAAAAGAGGTCGCTCTGTTATACCGGTAGTGCTGGGACAGGTCCGTAGCTGCAGGAAAACACGAGCTTGCTTAGTTTTTTCAAGATTTTTTCACTTTTTTAAGAGTACGAAGATTTCTGGTGACGCTATAGCTCTGACCAGACAGACAGGATGACACATTGCAAATAGCGAGTCTAATGGTCCAAGCAGAAGCTACCACTGTTGTGTTAGAGTGGTGGTAATACGTTGAAACGAGTTCATTTGTCTGAGTAAGTCTCAGTATTGTTAAAACTTTTTCATTTGTGCGTCTCGTTTTAGGTAATCTGACAGTGCTGCAGAGCAAATCAAATTAGTGTTTTAAAAAATAAATTTGATAAGACGTTATTTTAGAGTAAGAATCCCAAAAATAGAAAACGAGTCGTCAGACGAGTTGTTGCACACTTATTCGTACAATCTTGATGTGAAAATAACAGATGAATTTAAAAGAACAGAATTTGAAATTGATTGATGTTGCATATTTTCCGTATTTTGACGATCCATTGCATATTTTGAATAGTATTTTTGAAGTACAATACAAATTCCGTTTCTTTGCAAATTAAAAAAAAAAATGATTTTTCGAATATTTATTTATGATAACCTCTATACATTAAAATAAATATAATAAATATAGTAGATAAAAAAAAAGTGTCATCATATGATCAAAAAAAAGAATCCTCTAGTTGGCCATGAAATTTATTTTTAAAATTATCATGTTGGCAATACTAATGCGTTCCTTGTTCCGTTTGACAATTAAATAACTGTCAAGTAGACTGTCAAATAATTGCAATGCCAAAATTAATATCATTATTTTAGAACTAAATTGCATGACATATTAGAAGACTTTTTTAAATTATGCGATATTTCAGACATCTTCAATATCACTTCGGACATTGTGCATTGTGGCACATATTTTTAATTCCAAAACAAAGTTTTCTTTGAAAAAATAATCAACAATCAAAAGTTGGCTAAAAACAAGATTTCTACAGCGTGATCGACAAATTCTGTTTGAGTTAACAATAGAATTAACCAATTTTGTGATTTTTCTTTGTACTGTTGCCTAAGCTGATCCAAATACTTGGCATGCCACCTGTAAGCGCTCAAAAAAGTTAGGTTATGACATTTTAACATTAGACACAAATTTTGGATTAATTAAAACTCCTTGTCAAGCATGTCAATTTTAACAACAAGAAGTAAGGTGGGGTGACAGTTCTACCAATTTTAAGCAAAATGTGTTGATACCAACTGAAACAGCAATTGTTGATCACCCTGTACACATAACGATACTACAGTGAAATAATTTCAAATAATTTTTAAACTATGACCAATATCAAAAATGAAACTTCCGAAAACATAAAACTACGAGAACTGTAAAGTAGGATTTATAAACTTGCTGTTGACGTTGAAGTTCCCGTCGCAGTTGCTGTTTCCGCTGACATTGCGTTTAGAGCTGAAAATTGTCATTTATAAACTCCTTTGCCAAGTGTCCGTCGATAGTAACTTTGATGTTCAACTTTTGCCGTATTGAAAGGGGTTGCAGAAGAAAACTGGAAGATTTAAGTTGATTACTACAAAAATTTATATTTATCTTGAGTCAAGGGGGCGATGCAAAATCCTTATTTCTCTACGACAAATTATAAACATGTTTTTGAGTATCGTGTTGTTAAAAAAAAATAAAGTCAAAGATTAGGCCCCACCCATACCCGCCCCGATATCAATTCCCAATTGTGATGAATTTTTCATTCCTTGTTAAATCGAGGGGTGGAGCTTAATTGCAAGATCTATATTTGCCTACAAGAATTTACCATTTTAAACATGTTGTAAGTTTCTTGTTGTGAAAAAACGACTACGTATATTAAGAAAAAAGGCAAAATATAGGCCCCGCCCACCCACCCTATCTCAATTGTGATGATTTTTTTATTTGTCGTAAGCCAAGAAGGCGGAGGTTAACTGCGAAACCCTCATTTCTCTGGGCGAAATTAAAATTAATTTTTTGAAAAGACGGCTACGTATATTAAGAAAAAAGGCAAAATATACATGTAAAAACATATATTTTTGGTTTTCAGATTTGTGTAGAGGTTGTTTTTCCGAATTCATTAATGTATCGTACTTTAATTATCCATACCCGGCCACTTCGCATTCGAGCGTATTGTATTACGGAAACACACTTGTTTATATTTTGTCTGAAATGACCCTGACAGGAAACGGATTAAAAATTACTCGAAAAATATGAATACGTTGATAAAATTGGTGTCTAAAGGTGCAATTCTGTAAAAACTTAATATATTTAAAGGGTGTTAAATTGCAAATTTCCATACTAACAAGTTACATTCGTAAATCTGATTGGCTATTTATTTTTAACAACCTTTAAATTTTGATATATAATTTTTCTTTGTAGTAAATTTTCTCATTTGAGAATGTTTCGATTAACATTATTTCAGCAAGGACACGTCTGTCAATTCCGACAGTGTAATACTAATATTAAAACACTGAAGTGTACTGTCCTTGAAATTTGATCTGTTAAAAAATTATACTCCTAATAAATAGTATCAGTAATAAAATAAAAATAAAAGAATCTGCGACATTCGAACCGTAAACCGTAAAGGAAACATTTCGTCCAAATTTTCAAAAAAGATTCTTTACTGAAGGAATTGTCATTTATTAGAGCAAATTATCAGTTTGTTTTCAACTTTCAACCCAATCAACACTTTGAATATTTTAGAAAAAATAGACAATTCTGTAAATTTCTTTCCGGGTCGCCCGAGATAAATTACGTATATGCATAAAACTGCATATTTAGAAGAAATTTTGTGCATAATTATATGTTCACATTTTGTCAAAAAAAAAAAACACAAAAATTTTGAGTATGACAATTTCAATTACGATAAATCGGCTTAATTTTTTTTAGCCACGATAAGATCCTTTTTAATCTTTTAACTGAAAAGTCATAATCATGTTTTACAGCCCCATATAAAAATACAAACTTTATTTTATAAACATATCTATTTTTAATTCTCAATTGCCGTACAGTATTTTTACGAATAACACAATAATTGTCTTATAATAAATCAAACATCATAATTGCACAAAAATTAAATATTTTGATAATGTCAACAACAAACGAAACTGAAGGTCAAGTGTCAGTCGCGTCGAAAAAGTATTTAAAAGATATTTGTGGTACTTATCCAATTATCCAATTATCCAATTATCCAATTATAGCATCAACACATTGGGTTATATCGTCCAATATAGTATTTGCAGTAGTAACATACTGAGATATCTTCAAGTCAGCACATTCCTGAACAGAGATCTTCAGCTCGCCGAAAAGTTCTTCAGCTTTTAAAACCTCCACTTTAATTTGTTGGGGAACTCTCTCTGTTGCTAGTTCAATTTCTTGAATAAGAACAGTAATGCATGGGTCACCGGCAGCCTCACACAACTCAAGTTGAAACTCCAGAGCATTAACACTATTAATATTAATATCAATCAGATACTTGATTTCACGTAAAACTATTGATCCCTGTACAATTTTGCCAAAGACGCAGTCGTTTAAATCGGCGAGAATTGTTATATGTAGATTACTCAGATAATTTTCGCGGCCGTCAAGACAGTAGGAAATGTCAGCTTCAGCACTATGCGCTAAATTTTTAAGAACTGTCAAAGAGTTGTTAATTGCCTCTCTTTCGCTTTGAACTGTAACTATTGCTGATCTTTCAGTATTGCTGGCAAAACTTTGTAGATCTAGGCTAAAATCATCCAGATTGTTTTCAGCGGCCAAAATAGCACCTAGAACAGTTTGTCTTAAAGCTTCAAGATCTTCCTTTGCATCATCAATCAAATCAAAAGGCACCACACTCGCCTGAAACGTTACTTATTGAGTAAAAGCAAAAGCAATTATTGTACATACCTGAATGGCCACGACGCTAATTACCACCAAGATGCAACTTTTATCAAACATTGTGGTTGTTTTACTGAGGTGATTAAGAAAACTGATTGTTTTATTATTTTTTTGTTAAATAATCATTAAATCTGATAAAGAATATTAAAATTTATTGCTGTTTTATTACAGACAGATGAAGTTTATCCCATTATTATTTACGCAATCGATGATATCTTGAATAAGGAGAGTGACATCGATGTAAGTATCTGAACATTGTTGCAGGATTAAAGGTTATCATCTTTTCAAATTCGTTTTCACACTACATTTTTATTACTTTATTTGTTTTGTTTTCTAAAAATAGTCAATGAGGCATAATTGGTCCCATCTCACCGCATCTTCAGTTAATAAGCCCAAACCAAATACCACTGGAACAAGTCGAAGATTGACAAGAAAAGAAGAAACGCTGCAGTAGTAACTCATCTCCCCACAAAAATAAATTAGAAGAAGAAATTAATAAAAAAGAAGATGCAAAACAAGAGAAAGAAAAGAAAAAACCGAAAGACTCATAAAGAAAGGGGATAATTCATTCAAAGAAAGAAACATCAAAATCAATAAAATGAACAAAATCAATACGTACACATTTTCTGAATGTAACGATGATTCTGATACTATCGAGTGTTTTTACTGCCATGGCTCTACCCAGAGTCTATTGAAGATTGGATAATTTGTGTAAAATGTCAAAAATTGACACATTTTGGCTGTGCTGGTGTAGATGATGATGATGATGAGCAGGTAATCAATATCTGCAAGTGTAAGAGTTAATTGATTGTTAATTAATTAATGTTGATTAAGTGAAATTTTACAGTTCTATTTCTATACTCCATCTTGTTCCATAGGGTACTTCATTTTACCCCGCCTATGAGAAGATATGGGGAAAACGACTTTTTTTATTTAATCGTCAATTATGTGAAGATTGACTTACCTTATGTTCCTATGCTGTCAATAATTTTACATATTGATTACTAAAGGTTAAGGAACAAGAAGTATTTTTCCCTGTCTATGAAATTCTTGATTTTTTTTATACATCAAACCTTTACAACCTGTCTTGTCCTACCCTCCCCTAATTTGCACCTTTCAGAGCTGACCTCGACGCCTTATTTTGTCACCTTACATCAACAAACAATGTAAATGAAATATAATGAATAATAATGAACAACAATGGGTACGTTGGTGTAAATAATTCCACTTTTGATTGTAAAAAAGAAATTACCTTATCTGGATAATATTTTATTGCAAAAAATTGGTCTGAACTTATATGGACAGAACTTTTAAATGCAATCGTACAATTCCAGTTTTTTTTTGAAAAATTATGAAACATGTTTTTGCAGAATTTGTTTTATTTTATGATAATCCCTATAAGTAAAAAAAACATTTGATAAAAATTATATTCTATTTCTAACCCACATGGGCAATCCGCCACTTAATCAAGTCGTCCACATATAAAAAAAAATTGGAAAGCAATTGTAATAAAAATCGAGGCGGATTCATAAACTACGAGTACAGGAGTAAATTATTTTATAAAATTAAGATAACATTTACTACACGTAATAATGAGGGGACGTCATCAAATGTTGGGGTGATTAAACAAATTTTGGCATTTGGTTAGATCGACACACATCTGCACGATTCTTAAAGCACGCATAAAATTTGTCAATAGTAGTTTTGAAGATTATTATCTGTATAATAAAAATCGACACAGACACGTAGACGACAAAGACTTGAAAACGAGAGACCTATTTTTTCCTACTTTAGGGGTCATGAAACGTCGAGAAAACATGAAAGTAGCCATTCACCTTAACTTACGCTCGGAGAGTGAAAAAGGAATCACAAAAAGTACAAGAGATAACTAAGCCAGTCCAAAGAAAAGCTTCCTTTTCCTACACATACTCCGATTTTTGTCACAAGACGAAATGTGACCTTTGTGAAAAATTAATTTTAGAAATATTAATTTGGATTCGTACAAATTCACTACAACACCAAAACATTTCAACGCAAGGTCGATGGTTATGTTGTCATGTTCTCGGATCCCAGTAAATGATTTATTAATTACACCCTGATTTATACCCTGCGTGATGCCGTTTCCCTTACTACCAGTTTCTCCCAATAGGGCAAAGGAGAAATGCTCTTTTTTAATATCTTTAAATTTTCAAATATACAGGGTGAGTCACTAAGCACGCGCTCCTCGGTATCTCATTAATTATTTTAGAAATAAAAAAAAAGTCTTAAGTTCTTTTGAGGACTATACATTACAGTTATTTTCAACTACACACAGTCTCCAGATTTAAACTTTTTTTTCAAATGGAGTACCTACCCTAGCGATGTTGCAACGTTCTTCCAATGTCCTCGAAATTTTTCACCAATGTAAACGTTCACAAAAAAAATCGCATTAGGGTTAGTTTTAAAATGTCTGCTACAATATTTGTAGAGTGTACAGAGATAAATAAAATGGGATATTAATATAATATTTTTGTTCTCTTTCTATTTTCTTAAGTATTTTCCCTACCTAAAATTTATAGTTACTGCGATTTTTTACTTTTTTTAAGAGATACATCGTCAAATTAAAGAAATGGAACAAAAAATTGAGTCAAATGGAGGAATTAATACGACTGGGATATTGATATTTGAAAATTGAACACTCTGTATATTAAAATTTGATTTAATTGATACCACAACAGAACACCACGTACCTTTGTTTGACTCTTCACAATATAGTATAACACAGTTTAAAGAATCCTACAACGATTTTTTTTGAACACTTCAATTACTAAAGCATTTCAACAAAATTTGAAAAACATGACAACGTCGCGTCGCATTGGAATTTCAAAAATAAACTTTGGGTACAAAGCCTAGGAAAAGGCTAATCAGATATACTATTGATATAGTTATATATATAGCTGTGTTCGATCGTGTTTTTTATTCCTCTCTCGGCATTTACAACTTATAACTTCCACTACCCATGTTTTGACTGTTGCATTGTATTAACACTTTTACATTTTTATTCGAATCATTGTAGTGTGGAGATCTTGGGTAAAAATTCTTAGCAAGCTTAATTTATACAGGGTGCGCGACATCGCTGTAACAATTCGCAGTAAATTACACCACGTGAAAAATCAGCGAGCTCCAAAGCTTGCACTTTTTGAACGTGGTATGGATGTAGGCCTTGTTCTTTTAATGTACGATACACTACAAACTGTGAAACTCAACTTCAGCTACAAGGCGCTGGGTGCTGATGTCGGGCTCTTCTTCGACGCGTTCCAAAATTTGTTCTTCAGCTTACAGTATTCTTTTGTTCCGATCACGGCGACGCTCGTGAGTTTGAGGTTTGAAAGTACCATGATTTCGGAGATGCTGTACCACTGATGTAAATTAGTGAGCCAACGTTTCCATCAGCCACACAATAAAACATTATCATGTCGACACGCTCTGAATTGGAAAAATTCACTATTGTCAAAGACGTTAACCAAATCCACGACGGCAAACAACTGATACGCCCTTATTGGGTTTTTGGCACATTCCTTATCAGTGCGCGCTTTTTTGGTTCTTAATCCTAGTCTTTCTGTGCCAGTCACTGTATGGATCAAGGTATACTATCAGTGGCGTATATAACAATTTATATTTAATTTCAAATATTTTTTCTAGACATTGCTACCACTTAAGAATAAAGTCACTAGATCTATTACGGTCCCAAAGTAACTCCAGCCCTATACCAAGAGAAAGTCTCACCGGTAACTGGCAAACAGTCGTGGAAGACGTGTTACCAGCAAGGTAACTGACAGCCAAATGACAGTAACAGGGTCGTCATACTGAAAGCAAAAAATAGCTACTGTCGAAAAGACGGAGCACAACAAAGACACAGATATATTTCTATTTCATAAAAGTTACTAATTGCCATACATTTCAAGAACGAGTCACATTACTTAAGAACATGAACTTTACACAGTGCAATAAATCTTATTGTGAACTATTGCCCTTTTTACTTCCCGAGCGTAAGCTAAGGAAGTATAGGAATCGAGTCCATCGGCCGAATTGCCACTTTCAAATTTTCTCGACGTGTCATGACCTCTAGATTACGAAAAAAGTAGTCTCCCGTTTCATTCTGTTTATCTGTCTGTCTGTCTGTCTGGTGTCTGTATCCATTTTTATTAGACAAGTAATCTCCGAAACTGAACCGATTGTTGTCAAATTTCGTATGTATATTAAGAATACCATGTAGATGGTTAAATGAGAATTAAAATTTGGCTAATTATCCCCACTATCAATGGGATGACGTCATCGCCAAAATTTATAATAGAATTTTTGGAAAAAATTCAAAACTGAATAACAATATTTTGTAATATAACTTTGAAAATGCAAAACCAAATGCTCTGAAATGTTGTAAATATTTTAAGGATATCGTAATTATGGTAAATCGTTAAGCAAAATTTATTCATTTATCCTCTCCCAAAAAATTAATGACGTCATCTCAAAAGTTTGCCGATTAAATCCTATCCAAAATGTGCAAAATATGTTAAATCTATACTTTTGATTTATCGTCGCGTTAAAAGTTTTTAAATTTCTTATACAGGGTGACTCAGAAAAATTAATGAAAGAGCCAATTTATTTTATTGATGAAATCAGGAACGGCTGAGTCCGTTTCTCCGAAAATTTGGGAGTACAATACTGTTATCATTAGTATTACACTGCACCTATCCAAAGTGATATATATGTCTTTCAGGGGCGGCTCATGACTTGAAAAATTGATGAGGCAAAGCACAAAACGCTCTAAAATATAAATAAATCAAGATTACTTAAATATTTTCTATTTAGTCAAATAAACAAATTTGTAAACTCATTTAACTGTCCACAAAGAACCAACGTGAAGGTGTAAGGAGGTCTTGCAAGGAAAGGATGAGAATGACAGGACAAAAGGAAAGGGAAGCGTGGTCAGAAAAAACTAATATAACTTCTAACAAAAAACAAAATTAAAATAAACTATAAAGAAAACATATCGAAAAAGATCAAATACAACATAAAATAAAGCTAATTTGATTTATAACAAAAAACAAAATGAAAA